ATTGTTCTTCCTCTTTTTCCCCAGTGAACTAGGAAGCCAAGAGGGAGGACAAGGAAGGTGGAGGAAAGGGGGTGGGGAGTTGTGGAATGGTTGTTTAGGAGAGAGGAGAGTGAATGACTTTGAGAACGCTGCTCGAAGTTTGCTGTCCCAAATTTAAAGAGGCATGAGGTTGGCGAGGAGCAGTGAGAAGGTAGCAGGAACAACAGACTGGAGGGCCTGGTGAAGTTGGGAACACACTCAAATTAGGATTTGAAGAGGAATAAGTTGGACAGACGGGTGGATGGAGAGCTGGGTGAATGGTGGAGGTCATGGAAAGGTCACAGATATTGATAATGACGGGTATGATCATGGGAATATGATAAGATGGAGAAGAGACTTTGAGGGAAATGGAGAGGCTGGGATATTGATAAATATTGAAATCACAGGGATTTTGACCAAGGGCTGATGGAAAGAAGTGACAGAGAGATGAGAACAAGTCTTCAAGTACTGTGGGGAATGCATATGGGCGAGACTGTACGTGACTGTGACTGAAACAAAAATGCATATGGGGGGAGTGGTTAGCAAGGAAGTCTCTCTAGAATGTTCTGGAAGGGACCGCCATTTAGAAGCTGCAGTGAGGAACAGAAAGGCGCCCTTGTGGCAGAATAGCACTAAGGAGGTATGGGTGGAAAAGCACCAACCATTTAAGAGGGCTGTGAGGCTCGCAATGTCTTCAGAGAGCAAACTAAGGTTTTGTTAAAGCAAGAAGGTGAGAGAAATGTTCAAAGAAGTATTTGAGGATTTTTGCTAGTGATGGGCAGTGGACTCTAGAGAATAGAGTAGAAGGATTTCAGGAATTGGGGAGGGTGGGAGGTAGGACCGAAGAGAAGATGTACAGAGCCATACTGGAGCTGGGCGTGGTGGTACGCACCTGTAATCCCAGCACTAAGGAAGCCGAAGGCAGAGAATTGTGAGTTCAAGGCCAGTCTGGCTACATAGAGAGACTCTGTGTGTCAAAAAAACCAACCAGCCAAACAGAGCCCTGCAGGAAATTGAGTTCAGGTGTTGGAGGAGACCTGGGAGTCTTGGCTTCTTTTGGTGACCGAAGCAAACAAGAATGTGAGACACAGTGGGATTGGCAGTCTCCATGGCAGAGTATGGTGTGACCACCGTCAGGGTTGAGGTGGGAAGAAGCAGGGTCCATGTACCTAATGTTTCAGGCAGTCTGATTCCAGAGACCTGAATAACTTTACCACTGTTTCAGTTCTAAAAACGACATTGACTTGGATATGAGAAGGAAATTAATGACCCGTGTAGCTTAAAATATTTTTATTGTTTTTGCCTCTCAATTGCATCCATGTAGGAGGTTTTTTTCTGTTGCCTCGAGATTCCTCTAGTTGAAAAGGAACCAGGCTGTGAACATTAGAGCTCGAGGTGTGAGTTCTGCAGGGGAGAAATGAATAACCAAATGGAACTTGTGGGGAAAGTATGGTATTTCACAGGCCATTGTGAAGTGGGGGAAAATAGGGTCAGGAAGGCTCCATGAGAACATTCCTGGAACCCATCCTGGAATCAGTGCCTTCCCCACTGCCAAGTGTCCCAGGCCCCATCCCTGTGCCTGCTCCTTCTCCTGCTGATGTTCTCTAACTTCTGTGTATGCTCAGTTTCCTTATGTGTCACAGCCCCCCACTTCACGGGAAAGTTGTAATAACCAAGCGTTATAATGTAAAAGTATTCAACACACTGTGTGATGCACAGCATAACTGCTTAGTAAGTAGTATTTGCTACTAAATGACAAGTGCCAGGTTCTTAGCTACCATCTGGCTCCCTTCTTGCCACTAGTGTGGCCATGTTGTTTTACCACTCTCTCTTTTAGCTCCTTCTTCCCTTGCTTCCCCCCTACACTTCCTCTTTACCTATTTTCTCTTTCCCCTCCCTGGTCCTGGTTCCCACTGGTGCCTGTACCTTTGTGTCCCTCTCTGGTTAGGGAACTCTTGGAATAAGCGAGGCAGCCCTCAGAGGAAGGAAGCTCATGAGGATAGTCTCTTGGCCATTCCAAATGAGGTCTGTGGCCAAGGTGGCTACAGAGGTGCAGTGACCCATGACAACAGACTTAGTTGCCGGGAGGCTAGCATCACGAAACAAACTTGGCCACTGTGATATTGACGTGGGGCTAGGGTGACAAAGGGCGGGCAGAACAGGCTGTGTGAAGGTAAGGATCACTTGAAGCAGAAAGGGCTGGGCCAAGTCACCTTACGGAAGGATGAGTGGGAACATGTGCTAGTCCTGCTCTGCTGCTACTCTGGTTAATCTCAGCACCTTCTAATGTTAGGCTTCTGTAGGGTAGCAGAGTAGTCAGCCCTTGGTGACCACAGGGTCCGTGGCCACATGCTCAATCAATGGTGGATTGAAACGATCTCAAAAGTTGCGTCTGTGCCGAACATGTGCAGACTTGACCTTACCCCGTAAACTACAACACGGTCCTACAATTTGCGTGGCATTTCCAGTATGTTCGGTATTTTAAATAATCTAGAGATGTTAAAGTGTCATTTAGCGATGCCATTTTGTGTTAGGGACTTGAGCATCTGCCTGTTTTGCTATGAGGGGTGGCTCCTGGAACCAGTTCCCCACAGATAATTAGGGAGGACCAACTGTGTACTGGGTAAGACTAAATTCTGGAGCAGGCTGCTCGCATTTGAATCTTGGCTGTGTCACTGAATGAGCCGTGTGCCCTTCAGTAAGTTGCCTAACTTGCTCATGTCCAAGTTTCTCATCTCTAAAGTGAAAATAATTGGGATAGTGCAGTTGTTGTGATGATTAGTGCAATAGTTTACAAAATGTTTATAGTAGTTTCAGGCCCATAAGAAGTACCATGTGTTTGTTATGGTCTTAAAATTTTTAAATTGCAGCAACATAATTATTTCCATTTTACTGACGTCAGAACTAGGGTGGAGAGGTTATGTGACTTGCCTAAGGCCACAGGTCTGCTGAGTAGCACAGTCAGAACACAGAGGTGACAGGCTCCAAGTCCTAGCTTGTACCCACCGTACGTAGCTGCTCCCTTGACATGCAGGTGGACACTTTGCTTTCTAGGAGGGCTGTAAGAGCGACAGCACTGTGAGTGAGGTGAGTGGGCAAGTACAATCTGAGAGGTGGACAAAGGGGCTGCTTGGGGACATGCAGGGACTATTGGCCACAAGGCCTTCAGCCATTCTCTGCTCTCTGTCCCTGTCGTGGGGGAGTGCAAACTGACTTCCAAGGCCCATTTTGGGGAGCAGTCAAGGTTCTGATTACAGCCAGAGTGTTCCTGGGACTTCTGCCTCCTTCCTGTTTTTCTGGGTGACCTCAGTGAATTCAGTGAACGTTTTTGTACCTCAGGTTCCTCATTTGTTGAATGAGAGAAATTGATGGATTTCAAATGGCTGCAAAAAAAAATTGAAAAGCCTTTAAGCAGTACCCGATTTCAAAAAAGTCGAGTCATCCCTGATCACATTACTGAGGGTCACATGTGGACCTCCCATATGCTTTGTGCTAGCAGTGCCCAATGTCAGATCCCAAAACCTATTCCAGAATGTTCTACAGAGACATTTGGACCCTCATCACCTTTCCTGAGTTTCAGATTCCCCTCTGTGAATATAAATTACTTCCTGGGGGAGTTAGTTTTCCTTCTATGTGGATTTCTGTTGTCAAGAGCCTGTGTCCAGGTTCCACAGTTGTCCCAGCTCCCATTCTGGAGCTCTGCCATCTTTTGGTTCCAGACCTTGGCATGACACAAGGCTCCAGCTCCTGTGCTAGCAGGGCCTGTGACTGCCTCTGTTCATTAGCGAGTAGTCTTGATCCTATGCCAGTCCCACAGCGAGCGGGGAGGCAGCTGACACCTTCGCCTGGAGTCTTTGTCTCTGTGGACTTGCCTTGGGGTATGTGTGCATGTGTGTTGGTGTGCGTGTGCACACATGCACACTACGGGCTGAGTGTGCACCATAGGCTAAGCCTCTTGGCAGCTGCTCAAGTTCAGTTTTTCCTCAGAATTGAGTTAGCCACCCAGCCGTTTCTATCTCGGCCTGCTGCCAAGATCAACAGCAGGGTCCCTCATGCCAAGTTGAAACCTTCCCAGCATTGGTAGTTCAGAGCTTCTACTTTGAAGGAGATGGGAAATGGGTGAGCAAGTGGGTGTGTCAGAGGTCAGGAGGGTGGGGAAGTTTGTTTTAGCAAGCTGTGCCATAATTGGCCCAGCTGCTTGGTCTTCACTCCAAAATAGGGCAGACGTTGGACTCACACCCAAGTCCAATGGGGAACCTCATCATCCTTGGATCCAGACCTGACCAGACTTAGCAATCAATTTTTTTTTCATCTGGAAAACAGGAATAACAAATCCTTCTTCATATGTTCTTCATGTCAAATGAGAAATAAACTTTTAAATAGTCCACCATCTACATGCCAGGAGCAGAAAGTGACATAAGGTTGTGTTTTTAAAATATGTTCCATAGAATGCCAAGTGTTATTTTTTAAAAAGTCACTTGCTAAATAATTTGGAGAAACTGGAGAGAAATAATGTTAAGTAGGTCTAGTCTGTAGAGGCTACTCAGGTCCTTAATACACCAATAAAATGCTTGGTGACTCTCCAACGGGACATACCATATGTAGCATTTGTTAATTTTGTTTTGAGACAGGGTCTCACTATGTAGCCCAGGCTGGCCTGGAACCTCCTGCCTCAGCCTCCTGAATGCTGGGATTACAGCTGTGTACCACATACCTGTCAACAGTTCTTAAATTTTTAACCAAACTTTTTTAGTGAACTATTTTTCAAGTATCATGTGTGCAAAATACACTCTGGAAGGCACCAGTCTGGGCCAAAAAAATACTCAGAAAGTTTTTTGGCTTGAATTGGGAAGGGAGGTGAGTTGGCAAAGTGACTGGGGTTGCTAAAATTTGGGTTCTGAAGGGTAAGGGCATTCTGGTCCCCAGTCTGTTGCAGTGAGTACTTCCAGTTCTGAACACCTCTCTCTCTCTTGTTCCCCCAGCTCCCCTTTGAATTGGAGATTTACTACATTCAGCATGTCATGCTCTACGTGGTGCCCATCTACCTGCTTTGGAAAGGAGGTAAGGCCAGCAAACGACATCCCCATGGCACCTCTTGTGTGCCTAGCTCGATCTTGAGCTCCTGCTTGTCTGGGTTTCTTCAGCATGCTTGATGCCGGACCCAAGGCACTGGGGAAAGTGGGCATGGATGATGCCGGCAAAAAGTCTGGGGGCTTTCTGGAACTATCCCATGTGGGTGAGCATGGTGCCGTTGACTGCCTGTCATAGGGCCTAGGATTTGGGCTCTTGGTGGTGGCCCCCTATACTCTGTCTCTCTCCTTTGCTTGTGCCTCCCCAGCCTCAGTAAATAGTACAAGGTAGAAGAAGAGAGAGAGTGAGCTACTCGGTCTCTTCAAAAACTAGACTTGTGTGCTTGCTCATTGCATCCACCATCTCAGTACCAAAGAAGCTACTGAAGGGGTGGAGAGTGCAGGGACTGGAGGATTATGGGATTGAGGAAAGAGGCAGGTGAAAGAACAGCAACTTCCATGTAAAATAAACCATTGCAAACTCATTTGGTCAAAAGGGAACGCCACCGACCTTCTGGAAGGGAAGCTGATCTGTTTGTGACCTTAGAGTGCCCTGGAAGTTCTCTTCTCCCTCCATTGGAGACGGAAGGAGGGAGTTCCTGTGCCTTTGGGGCTTGTTGTAAGAGCCACCTCTTCTCTGCTTCCTGAAGGGCCTATAACTAGAAGACATTCTTCTTCAGTCTTAGCCACCAGCCTCTCTGCCTTTGTTGCTGGGACTTTTCTGGGACACCAATCCCTTCCTATCTCACGGTTTCATTTCTATCACCCTAAAAATGCCATGAGGCTGCTTGGGTTCCTGAGCTCGCTGAAAAGTGGTCTGGGATTCTGCTGGGCTCTGCTGCCTCTCAGTCAGGAGATTTTCCTTCTGTGCCTGGGTTCCTGTCATGTAAGCCTCTTTTTCATGAATTTGGCTAAATTTTTTTGAGGCTGCTTTTACCCTGTATGGCCACTTGGGGTGTCACATTGTCAAAGAACATTTCCCTTGATTTCGGTCTAAAAGAACTCCTTCCCTACTGAGCTTTCAGAGGAGGCTGAAGTTCCAGTATCCAGACATTTGTACAGGGAAAGCCACACCCCCTAGATAGAGTGATTCCTCTGTAGCCTTCTATTGAATCCATTGCTGTGCTCTTTGAGGAAACTGAGCTAAGGAAGTAGGGACTCTTGAGTCTTGATTCCACTTCGTTCCTACTCTTAGTGATTTTCACCCTGAGAAGAGGCTGTAGCAATAGCAATAATAATAGTAACTGCAGTAACTATCAGTGACTACTTTTTTGTCACTTCCTGTCTGTAAGATACATGTGCTAGGACTATTTTGTGTATTTCCCCATCACAAATGGCCTGTTGAAGGAAGAATCCTCCTTGCATGGAGGAGAAAATCACGGCTCAGGAACATTAAGGTACCTTGTTCACAGCCATAAGCAACAGAGTTGGGGTTCAAAGCCCAGCCTAAATTCCTTTCCAGACCAGTGTTCTTTCTTATACATTGCACCATCTGGAAGGCCAGGCATCTGTCTCCTAACCATACCCGGCTGGGAGTCCTGGTCTCCTTTCTCCATCTTCTGTACCAGTTAAACCATTCACTGAACATTTATTTGTTGACCACTTCCTATCTCCTCTGTGCCAGGCCTTTGTAGTAGGGAGCTGAAGATGAACCAGAAAGACACCGTGCTTCCCTGAGGAATCCCTGTTTATTGAGGATGATAGACAATTGTAACACAGTGAAATAAGCACTAACAGAGGGTAGTGTAGGTGCGGAATATCATTTCCAAAGCCTAGTTAACCTTCCTTTCTTCACCATTTCCGGGAAGATAATTGTGTCTTCTTAGAGCAAGTGTTGCTGGTAGCCCAGGTCCATAACTGGTGGGGTGAGAAATAGTGGTAATGAGGGAGCTGAGATGCTTTTTTACTTCTAATGTCCTGTTGACACCTGAGCTCAGAGAAGAATTAGCTGACAGGACAGGTGGGATGATATCATCAAGCTGACCTTTGACTCCAGGCCCTGGGCGAGAGTCAAAGGTCTAGAACTTGATGGGCCCCCACACCTTCTATCTTGCCAGCCTGGAGTTATTTTGAGGGTTCATCTCCCTTTCTAGCTCTTTGCTACCATCTGCTGTTCACTTGGAAATTGTGAATATGGAGAGAAAAATCTGGATTTCTTCCTAAGTCTGGTTTCGTCTTTGGCACGGAGCCTTGGACCCTAGACCTGAAGGAGCAGGAATTGTTTTGGTGTCAGAAGTGGGAAGGTAATTCCCTCAGAAGCCAAGAAAGTGGAGAGTTTGAGACTGTCCTATGAAAGACTCTTGGAATTTTCTAAAAATAAGTGTTTTGGGAATTTTTACATAAGACAATATAGGGGCCCTGTTTTGCTTGAGCACCAAGTATCTATCCTGTAGTTTGGATGTGAGTGAATGGTACTAAGTGTGAATGCCATCTCTCCCTCACTCCTGAAGTCCTTACCCATGCTTACAGGCCATGTGACCTCTCTTGTCCACACTGTTCTGTTCTTCCTCCAGCCTGATTCTAGTTTCCCCTGTCTCCTTTCCTCCCAACTTTTTTCTTTTGATTGGCAGGAACTAATTTCTTCCATTGTTTTGCTGCAGTGTTTATTTTTTTAAATTTTATTGGATATTGACAAATTATAATAGTAGATATATCTAGGGTGCATAGTGATACTATAATGTATAGGAGGATTGAATCAAGCTATATTTCCTGGAAACTACCCCCAGCCTCACCAGCCAGCTCTCCTGGAAGCTGTTCTTTCTGTTCTTCTGCCCTGTGCTCCATAGTCTCTTCTGGATCATTGTTTTGCCTCTACTTTGTAAGAAAATGCTTTCTTCTTTACCATCTTCTCTACCTCTTTTTTGATGGTATGGGGGGGGTAGGATTTGAACTCAGGGCCTCATGATTGCTAAGTACACTGTCTACCACTTGAATCACTCTGTCAGCCCTTTTTATGTTGAGTATTTTTGAGATAGGATCTCACTCTATGCCTGGACTGGCCTGGACTGTGATCCTCCTATTTGTGCTTCCCGGGATGACAGGTGCACACCGCAGCACTCAACCATTGCTTGGGATGGGGTCTTGTGAATTTTTTTTGGCCTGGGATGACCTCGAACCACAATTCTCCCAATCACCTCCCAAGCAGCTAGGATTACAAGTTTGAGACGCTATGCTCAGCCTCTCTTCCTCTTTTTTTTTCACCATCACCATCATCTAATCTCTTGGTCCCTTCCCTGATATTCCTATGAGTCTGTGGCCTGTGGTTCTCCATATTTCCACTATAGTGAAGACCTCTAGTCTGTCTCCAGCTTATCAAGGTTTGGGCTTTGAAATTGCAGTGATTTTGGTGTCTCCTTCTCTTCAGCCACTTGGGACTTTTCTTCCTCCAAGACTTCTCCATCTAAGATCATAAACTGCTGTGCCCATTTCTTTGACCCAAATCTCTGCTCCGTTCAGCTTCCTTCCTTCCCAGTCAGCATGTTCCACTGTGACCAGTTATTGGAACTTTCCTCTTACTAGTTCCTAAAAAGTGTCCCACTCTCTTGTCTCTTCCAACTGGGATCATTAGCCAGTCCCTTTTTAGTGTGTTCAGTCTCAACGTACTGGAGAAAATCTCTCAAGTCATTGTGATTAAGACCACTAAAGCTTCATGGTCCCCATTATAACTGCTCTCCACACATGCTCAACTATAGCCTGGCTTTGGTTAGCTCCTCTATACTTTTCCCTCAGAAGTAATGCATAAGCCTTTTCTACCCTCTTCAAGCTTCCTGTCCACTGTATGCAAAGGTCTTGTCCTCTCTACACTCAACAGATGCTGCCTACCAAATGACTCAGCAAATAGAAGTTTTCAGGTGGGAGCTCCCCCAGTCCTTTTCTCCACGTCTTACCTGCATCCATTCGTGTCCTTCCCTCCCATCCTAGAAGTGATGGTCCTCCTATCTGGGACTACTTGCATCCCTGGGTGATCACCTCCCATTCATCCTACCTCCGCTGGAACCTCATTCCATCAAATCCCTTGTTCCTGGGATTTTCCAGCCCTTTCTTCACTACGACCTTTTTAGACAATAAAGATGCTCCAGACTTTCCCATCTGAGACACCTTTCTGTCAATCCCACACAACTCTGTCTTCCTCTTCCTTTCACTAGCATCTCAAAAGAATAGTCCATGCAATATCTCCCAATCTTGGGGCATGATGAGTTTTGCCTTTTCCTTGTAAACATCATATTATTATGTATATACTATATGTCCTTAAAGCCTATTTTTTATTAAAATGTATTTATTCTTAATAGAAACAATAATGTTCAGGAAATCATGGCTTTGATTTACTGGCTGTTGTAAGATACTTTAAATATGTAACTATTAAAGATGATTTATCACCCCATATCGCCTCATGAACATTATAACAGTAGGAGACACTTGTGTCTGCCCTCGTTGTGTCGCTCTTTTCAGTTACCTTTCATTTCTCAGGGCAGTGCAATCTGACATTCCTACCCCCACCCCCACCAGGATCCTCACAGAAACGCCCTTGCTGTAGATATACCACAACACCCATGTGACAAAACTGAATCACCAATCTCTGTTCCACTGACACTGCTCCGCTCTGCAACCTTCCAAAGTCCATCTTTTTTCTCGCCCGCATACCTCCCTGACCACACTTTCACAAGCACGAGGTCTTTTTCTGCAGTCCTCTGAGCTGTCGATTCACCCAGAGTTCTGCTCCACACTCACCTCACCCTTGAATCCACTGACCTGGTCTGGTGTGCTTTCACTGGTTAGCAACCAGTCCGTATTGTGATGGCTGCTTCATCGCTCTGTATGACCTGGGTTCCTGGCAGTTCCCTCACTAACTTCTTCTGAATGACTTCAGTGCACTTCAGACTCAACCAACCCTCTTGTGCTAAACTCCTGACCTTCCCCATCATCCTTGCTGTTCTTCCTGGGGGTCTTGCCCAGTGGCATCACCTGCTCACCCCAACTAGGATCTGAGAACAG